TATATATATATATATATATATATATATATATATATATATATAGTTTGGGGTCAAGATTTTGAAAGAAATTAAAGCTTTTATTCAGCAAGAATGAATTAAATTGATTAAAAGTGATAGAAAAAAAACCTTTATAATATTACAAAAGTTTATTAAGCAGGGTTAAATAAAAATTGTAAATATATTAAAATAAAAAAGTTATTTTAAATTATTATAATATTTTGTAATATTACAGTTTTTACTGTATTTTAAATCAAATACATGGTCATATGCCCATGGTCACTGTGAACTGTCATTTTATGAAAAAATCCATGTGAGATTCTTTTTGGACATTTCTTAGAAAAATGAACAGCATACAGGTTTGCAACAACATGAGGATTAGTAAATGATGACAGAATATTCATTTTTGGTGAACTATTTCTTTAAGTGCTGTCTCAAACTCACCCCAGGCATATACTCCATGAAAATGGTGAGGGTCTTCTCATTATGGTCTCTAAGGCAACCGTAGTACTGAACGATTCGCTCGTGATGCAGGTTCTTCAACAGCTGTATCTCACACTCTAAAGCACTCACCTCCTGCAGAAAGGGGGGCAAGAGTCATGACACGACCACAGCTGAGGCAGCTGGCTGTGACCAGAGCGGGGTCTGAATGAGATGGCTGAGCATGTACATGGAAGATCAAATGTACCACAACACACTAATACCAAACAGTGGTTAAGAGGCGCTTTGTTTTTGAGTGTTTAAGCATATGTGTGTGTTTGTGTCAAGTGACGGCATGATCAACGAGAAATGCGTTGATAGACTACCCCACTTCCCCTCACCTCAAAATCCCCCTCTGGCCGATGCACACACAATCACACACAGATACAGGAAGCGACAGTGCATGTTTTTGCAATGGCAGACAGGAAAGGATTTAAAGAGTGGGGGAAAAGTTTAAGAAAGAACGAAAAAAAAACATGCTGGCAAACTCAGAGAAAAAAAAATTAAAGAAAAGAATCACGAAAAATACAAAAATAAAAAAAGAAGAAAAAAACAATACAAAAGAAAACAATAAAGCAAAAGAAAATAAAAAAAACAAAACAAAAAGCAAAACACAAAACAACAAAAAGCAAAACACAACACAACAAACAGCACAAAACAACACACAACACAAAACAAAACAAAAAACCAAAAACAACACAATACAACAAACCACAACAACACAAAAGACAACACAACACAACAAAACACAACACAATACAATACAACAAAACAAAACACAACAACACAAAAAACAAAACAAAACAAAGCAAAGCAAAGCAAAACACAACAAAGTGTAATACCTTGCTGGTCTCTGGACTGGCAGGGTCAAAATGAACCTGTTTTGCTGCAAGTTCCCTGCCTGTGTCCACATCATAGCACAGATAAACCCTTCCAAAAGCACCCTGACCCAGCAACTTCCCCCTGCGCCACGTCACTGGAGCTGTAGGGGCTACATGCATGAACATAACACATAGATACAATACTGACTGGCTGAATGAAACATATGAATTGACAATTTCACACAAATACCAACATTTTAAATACATCAAAGCATTCTTAAAATATTTATAAACACAACCATAATCTACAACATCAGGATCTAGCTCACACTCACACTTATGAGGGACTGGGCGGTCCTGTGGGCGGAGTCTGGCTTGAGTATCAACCAGCTGCCAGCTCCCCAAACTCTCCTCACTGCCGTTCAGTGAACGCCGCGATGGCACCAACGTGAACAAGTTTCCCTGGGGACGACGGATCCGTGGGAATGTCCGTCGACCTGAGGAGCAGCATTATTCATATAAATTATGACATGGGAGGAACTGGAGTGTGTATGTGTGAGCGTCCTAACTAAATTTGAGTGTTTCATACCTTCACTGTGGTCTTTATGATGCAGCGACACATGATACCTGCGAGGGTACGTCCCTCCCTTCCCTACAATCTTATCATATACATAGTTTTCCCGGTCTGAAAGAGGAGAACGTAGAGAGAGCATGGACATTTGGGCCAATGGAAAAGCTGATTTTAAAACTAAAAGTATCTTCATCAAGGCACACCTGCACAGTCCTGTCGGTTGTCAGGGTAACTCTTAACCCTGTGTGTACGAGGTTTCCTGAGTGAGGGACTGTGAAACAAGAGACACCAATAAATGAAAAATAACACAGTGACAGGTGCTTACAATTACAGTATCATTCAAACACATTTCATATTGTATTAGTCTCCTCACCTGTCAGAGTTGCTGTCCAATGACTGACAGCTGCCAGACACAGAGTTTTCTGCACTGCTCCAAGAATCCAGCACCTTTAAATACAGGTGAACTAGAAGTTAAATGGACTCAGGAGGCACTGCAGGTGATTAGGTGACTGTATTTCATTTTAGCAGTGGTATATAATGTGGCATATGCGTGAATTCCAATCTGGCTGCGAGAATATGCAAGCTAGCCATGTTTATATTAATTGAAGGAAGTGCAGTAATTGCAAAAGTTAGCATGTTGCCATTATTTTGACATTTATTTCTGCTTTGGAGAGTAATATATCTAGCACTTAAAAGCACTGACACAGCATATCTGGCGTGTATTTATAATGAATAGAACAGAATAGAATAGAATAGAATAGAATATTCAAGTATAAGAACACTACTGTTCAAAAGTTTGGGTCAGAAAGATTTTTTTAATGAAATTAATACTTTAATTCAGCAAGAATGCATTAAATTGGTCAAAAGTGACAGTAAAGACATATATAATGTTACTCAAAATTAATTTCAAACATGCTGTTCTTTTAAACTTTCTATTCATTGAAAGAATACTGGAAAAAAGTATGTTTCCGCAAAAAATGTTGAGCAGCACAACTGGATTTCAACATTGAAATTAGAATGATTTCATCGTGCCATCACAGGAATAAATTAGATTTTAAAATATATTAAAATAGAAAATAGTTATTTTAAATGATAATATTTCTAAATATTACTATTTTATGTATATATACTGTGTTTCTGATCAAATAAATGCAGCCTTAGCAGACAGCGTTCTGTAGTGTATATAAATGTAACCTGATATATTAAAATACTTCTGACATACAACGAATCAAAAATTCAGAAACACTAAATCTGTTATAGTTTTGAAGCACCCACTGATATATTTGTGCACATGTCTTTAAACTCACACACTGGTCGCTGGTTTCAGGTATGAACTCCCCCTCACTGTTGATGCTGGTGTACGATCCCTGACGTGCGATTCGCTGTTGGCACTCAGGAACGTAACCAGGGGGCGGAGAACTTCGGCCAGTGTTCTGAGAGCCTACGTAAGGACAAGACAATAGACATAAATGTTACAACTAACAATTCAACATTTGGAAGAACACATTTTTTTATGGTAATACTTTTATGGTGGCAAACATGTATCTCTGTTACTGACCACACTCTGGTGTGAGACTGAGAGTGCATGCATGCAATAATTTGCATTCACATCATGTTTACTTCACCATTTTGTCCAGTTGTATTTTTGTTTCCTTTCAGTCAGTACAGTGACTTGCCCTGAAAATGGACACCTTACAGTTTATACACAATTATATTTTCTAAAGCAGTGTTAGCATGCAATAAACCAGTACAAATCAGGACTGTACAAACCAGTACAGGTACAAATTTGCACACATTTAATCAATTACACTGCTAAGTCATTAATGGTCATTAAATTTTTAGGTCCCTATGAAATCTTTACTTTTATTTAGTTTTATTTTGTAGTTTTAAACAAAACAAAAAAAAAGCATGTCTAATCAATTTAATTCAAAAAATTTTTTTTTTTTTTTTTTTTTTAACAATAATATGGTTTCTGGATTTATGATTTTATACAAATTTTTATGACTCAATTTCACAATTCCAACTGCATTTTTATAGATTATGATGAGCTCAAAGAAAAACACACCATTTGCAATACAAAACAAAGCAAGAAACAGTCCCAAGCAATGTGTTGCACTGTGACAAGAGCACAATCTAAAAGCAGAACAGCTGAATCATGAGACTGAAGCATAATATAAACAAACGGCTTTTTCTTCCAGTCACAGAGCTCAGAGAGCTCACACTTTTCTCCAGATGCCCTTACAAGCTGTAGCAACCACCCCTCCCCCCTAAAATAAACACTATCTCTACAACAGGCCATTGGCCCACCATGCTAATAGTGACTCGCAATCTGATTGGCTGGGAGCCAGCAAGCCATTGTGGAGCAGCCAGTGATGGTGGACAGGAAAAGGAAGAGGACCCACTGCTCACAGAGGAAGTCAGAGAAACAACAGAGGGAGAGAGAGAGAGAAAATGAAAGAGTATGAGAGAGAAAAAGACCAGGGCAAGGAGATTGATAAGAAAAGCAGAGGGGTTTTTGGTTAAGTGCAGCAGTGTGTGCATACGTGTGTGTGTGTGTTTGTGTGTGTACTCACTGGTGGAGTGGTGGCGTCCTCTTGTTTCTGAGGATTGGTAGGCAGTACTGACATCACCGGTGGACTGAGAGGTTTTGATGCGAACCTGCTTACACAATGTGTGATGAGATGGAGAAGAGGCCTGCATATGCAAACAAACACACAAATCTACATAAGCATCTAGAAATCATTATATGTGTAGAAACAACACATTATAATGAATCAACACCTCTCTGCTCCTGTGCAATAACTGACATACAACAGTGTTAGCATTTAAACCTCTTTCTAGAAAGCAGAGATATTAGAATTTGCTCTGCATTCTTAGTCTACATTCCAAATGGAACTGGTTCATATTGACATGTAATATTAAACTGTAAGTCTCACATTGCTTTGTTCCTGTGTCAGCAGCATGATCTTGATGCTCTTCATGTTTGAGCTGCGGTCCAACAGATCAATGGCTTTATCCAAGTCATCCTGATCACGCAGGGGAATGGACAGCTGTGTGCACAAACCGAAACACACTTAACAAATGCACTGAGTAGAGCTGTCACATAAACATTTTACACAAGAGGAGGCACTCACAGTGGCTGTGCCCGGATACCCTACAGATATAGTAAGTTTTATGTACATCAATATCATTACTGAATGGTTGTATTTATTATTTTTATTTTGTACATTTGAATTAACTTATTAAAATTTAACTAATTACAAAAATATGCAAAATTAAAAGTTAGGTTTAGCTTATTATTGTCCATCTTAAAGTGAAGCAAGTTTTGTGTACTTAAAGTTTGTGCACCTTACATCAGTATTATTACTGAAATGTTGCTCATTTATTTTTTGTAATTACTATATATTTTTAATAAAAAAATGGGTTGCACTTTATTTTACAGTATGTGCACTTACAGTGTAATTACCTAAGAAAGTACTGGGTAATATAAGGTTATGGTTAGGTTTAGGGGTAGGTTCAAAGTTAGTACCTAGTTATTACATAGCTATTGTAATTACAATAATAATCACATAGTATGTACATGTGGAACAGGACTGTAAAATAAAGTGCTTCCAGAAAATGTTAAATTTAGCTTACTATAATTTATGTATCATTGTTAACCTTTGTGTGCACTTTTAAGTTTATACAAAATGAGGAGTTCAGCAAAATAGTACTAAAATAGCAGATATTAAAGTCCTGAGTATTTCTTATAACAGTGCAGCGATCAGACATAAGTGAGTGTCAGTGAGTGCATTTGAATGTGAATCAATACCTCATTATTCATATAATGCAGGTCTAACTGCTGACCGAAGAATGTTTTGACTTTCTGCTGGACTTCCTCAAACTGCACAGGCCTCCCAAACATCAGAATCCTACACAAACATATATAGACATACACACACACGCCACGCACGCAGAGGGGGACATTAAACAGGAAGCTGAGATTTCTTTAGATGTGTAATCTGAGCCAGTAAGTCAAGTCAATCACACAGTTGGATCTGCAGAGTGCACACATTCCTTCAAGCACACCTAGCATAGCTGTGGTCTGTCCTGGCAGCTACAGACTAACCACAGTCCTTTCCCTTTCCACTATGATACCAGTCTGAGAGCTGAGAGACAGGATGCCTGTGTGTATCTGTGTGTAAATGCCACAAACTCAAAATGTACATTCTACATGTTGTTTTATGTGTGTTTTTGAACATTACTTTTACTTTAACATACACACACACACACACACACGCACACACACGCGCGCACACACACACGCGCACGTTCCAGTAGAAAGAAACTCAAATTCACCTTCTTTCACCACAGAACTCAAACTTAATCCTGACATCCTCCTGAAGAGAAAGAAACAGCAGCTATGTCACGACAGGGTCATACAGGAGTCACAAGGTAACTGTATGTTCTCCTATATGTATATGTATTACCATTCTTTTGGAAGAGCTGGCAGTGCTGACAGGTTTAGGTTTTGCCGTGTCATAAGTTGACGCCGTCTGGCGCCTGGTCATCTGCAGGGCCACCAGATCCTTCATAATTGAATGAAGAGCCTGTCTCTCATCTGGAGAGAAAGAGAGAGATGTTACGGCCACTGACCAATAAACGCAATATTAACATTCTAAACTATTCTGTCTTATTTATGCATAAAAAATATTATATTGTACAGTATGAAAAATAGATATTCATTTTGAGATTTACTAAAGATTACATTTTACAGTGTTATCAAATGATTAATTTATTAGATTAAGTTTAAGTCAGTGTTAGATGATGGCAAATTTGATCTAAATGTAAAAATAAGGGAAATGACCAACTATTAAATATGAAATATTAGTCAATACAGATTGATTAACAGAAAAAAAATCTCTAATATCAGCCGATAACCAATACGATATATTGTGCACCCTTCCAAATAATCAGTATTTATTATTTTGTCAATGCACATTTTTCAATTAAAAACGTAAAAAACAAAATCTATTGTTAGTCATTTATATGTGGGTCAAACTGTCTCTTCCTGGCAGCTATTGGCCAAGAGCAGGCTAATGAACTACTCTGTTTGGCTTTAAAGATTTATTGTAATTGTAAGTATTAAAATGTAATCATTTATATGTATGAATTCAAATGATACTTTTATTCTAAACAACTTAGTTAATTCAATGTATTAATTTTAACAATACTTGTGCACCCTCTTTGTTGCCAAACCTTAATTGTGGTTAAACATTGTAATGAATGTCCTTGAGTGGCTTATTACCTCATTTTAAACTAAACGGAGATTATGTAGCAGAAACTATAAACTTGCTATACAGTTACAGCACAGGTGCAGAGGAGCTGAGAGGTTGTTCTGCTCTCTTTCATGAATAAACACACTCACAGTCAGACGACTAGACCTGCGTCAACGCAGTGAAAGTCGTGAGAGGGAGATGACCGTGTTTTTCGAGAACTCTGTTCTCATGTTTGATGTAAGAACGAGATGTGTCTTGGCTGAGCTCACTCACGGAGGGAAAATATTCGCAGTGTGTTGTTTGGACGGACTTCACACATCTCCAGAGAGAGAGAGAGAAACAGAGAAGCCTCGTCTACCCACCAATACTGGGAACATGGCAGATCAACCCAAGCAACAGACTTAACCACTCAACTGTTGAATATCTGTGCGTTCATGTGACCAGTGAGAACATAAGCCACTGTTTGTCTACATGTCTCACTCTCTTCTCTCTAAAAAAATATCTCCAAGCATCCTTTTAATTCCAGGCCTCAAAGTTGCTTCCAGCTCAACAGCAGCTTGTCTGCCATTTCTTAGTCACTCTTTTTCCTTGGTAATTTTAAATATTAAAACAGAAAACAGTTATTTTAAATTATAATTTTACAATGTTTATTTGTACTGTATTTTCGATCACATAAATGCAGACGTGGTGAGACTTCTTTCAAAAACATTACAATATTTTACTGACCTCACAGATTTGAATCTAGCAAAGCTTTAGCTTTTTAACTTTAGCTTTTGTTGAAATTAACCTAATACTGTATATTTTTTTATAGTTATAAAATCAGAATTGCGAGAAAAAAGTCAGAGTTGCGGGATATAAACTCGCAATTTTGACTTTTTTCTCAAAATTGCATGTTTATATCTCCCAATTCTGACTTATTTTCTCAGAATTGAGATATAAACTCACAATTGGGAGTTTGGAGTTCGGAGGGGAAAAAATATGTTTTCTCAGAATTTCAAGTTTATATCTCAAAATTCTGACTTAACTCACAATTCTGACTTTATAACTCACAGTAGAGTTTGTATCACAATTCTGAGAAAAAAGTTGGAATCGCAAGGTGCAAACTCACAGTTGCGAGAAAAAGTCAGAATTGTGTGATAAAAAGTCACAGTTACCTTTTTTTTTTTTTTATTCAATGGCGGAAAAGGGATTCCATTTGTTTGAGATCAAACAACAACTGAAGACATGTTGAAGACACTTGATATATGAATGGAAAAAACACGAGGACTTACTCATTTTGGCGGTATGAATGTGTGTGCTCTTGATGAGAGTTCAGGTCTGAAGGTCCTCACACACACTGTCCTCTAATGTCACCCATTAATGGCCTAAAAAGTGGACACATCATTACAACTGACTGTTGTTAGCTGTACCTTACCTCCATATCTAAACAAATGTAATCTGAGCCAACAAACAATGATATCATAGCCAACACCACAGCCAACAACAACACAGACAACTATGTACTATATCAACATCTTCCCAGGGGCCTTTCATTTACAAGAGTATTTTAATAGCAAACTGTTTACTGCCTCAGTGTTAATTTGACACATTAAAATTTACTGATGCTAGATGCACAAAAACTCCACCCCAAACTTAGGCAATAACCTAAAAATGTTTTACATGTGTAACATGAAGGTGAGAGAGTGTGCTGTGCATGCATATGAGACCTGAAGGACTGTAACCTGATCCCTGCTTGCACTGAGGAACCTGGCACAAACCTTCAAGCCAAAGAGAAAAAAGCCGGGGGAAATATTTACAGTTTAAAAATTGCCAGATTTTCAGCTCCAAGCTTGATTCCAGCCATAAAGGCTCCTCTCATCAATGCAATACTCCCTATAAACACTATCACTGTAATATGTTCATACTTAATTTGCCCATGAATACAGGTGGCTCACATTATAAAAAGAATGTGAATGTAAAAATAGCTGTACTTCACATTGAATGTTCTGCTTTTTAACTGAGGTTTTGTCTTATTTTTCAGGGCTCAACAGCATGACAGATCATGTGGTCCATAATAATATAGTTGACCATGTACTTGGAGCTCTAAAATGTGCAATTCTATACAAATAAGAGAGAAAAAAACAAATGTACCTAGTAACCTTCTAATGTCCTTCAAAGATGTTATCTGTTCTTCCTGGAAGAGGAAAAAACAAATTTACCACAAAGGTGTCAAATGATAGTTTCGCATAATGTGTAACCCACTTCTTTGAAGAAACTTATTTAACAACAGCTAACCTCTGCATGGAATGCATGGAATCTATAGTGTCAGCATTCATTTACCAAGCATTGCGATTTTCAGGTAAGACTGTCTGGATAAACATTTTTGAGCACATTTCAGTATTCAGCTCTAGTACATTTGACAAACTACAACATATTCTAATGCATTTGATTAACAATATCAGTTTTAATTAAATAACTGGGTACAAAATACAGATCTTAATTTAAATTAACCTGATATTGATTCTTAAAATCCAAAGATGAAACTTGTGGTCTATGTCTATATCACGAAAATGTATTTGTACAGCACCGAGCCCCTGGCAGGTGTCATCGCATCCTGCTTAACTGTCAGTGCCACTAGTCCGACAAATAAATAACATTTTATCCAGCCTGTGAATGTGAGTTTGCGATCTGTATTGATAGAGTTATTGAGTTGTCCTTAAAGGCTGCATGCAAAAATACATAACACTACCAGTGTAGTCAGATTCACAAACAAATGATTCTTACGAACAAATCTTATTAGTGAATCAAAAACCAAGTGCATCCAGTGTAGCCTAATTTCCCCCATAAAATATATTTTTTAAATCAATTATTTGGTTAATTATTTTAATGAATATTTCAAAAAGACAAATTAAATACGTTGAAAACATCACCCTAAATAATCATCAGTAGGGTTGGGCGGTATGATGGTATATATTGTTATCGCGGAATAAAGTGTCGATCGTTAGAAATTTTGCGGCTATGGTAAGGGCCACGACATTTCCTGACCAGGCGCCGAGTGCTGCCAATCACAACACACACTGCCCCAGCTAACCAATCACAACAAATTTCATATTTCAGAAGGCGGGCCTTGATTTGATACAGGAACTATTCGAGCCGTTCATGCCAGACTGGGGAGAGAGGTGTTGTAATAATGTAAAATATGTGAAAAATAATGTGTTTTTCGAACAACCTAGTATGAGAGCCTGTTCTAGTAGACCCCCAAAACAAAATCAAGACTTTGTAAAAGAGCATAATAGGACCCCTTTAAAAGTTACTAGTGCTGTACATCGCCTACAAATACAAATCACCTACAAAATAAAAGTTTTTGTTTTCATAATATACAGTGGGTACGGAAAGTATTCAGACCCCCTTAAATTTTTCACTCTTTGTTATATTGCAGCCATTTGCTAAAATCATTTAAGTTAATTTTTTTCCTCATTAATGTACACACAGCACCCCATATTGACAGAAAAACACAGAATTGTTGACTTATGTATATATAAATACACAAACATACAGTATATACTTTGAAACTATTTACATGTATTTACATGTCTATATTTATCTTCATATATTATATATAAATAAATCAAATATACAAAACCTATTTTTCTAAAACATATACATGCACATGTGTGTGTGTTTATATATACATAATAAATATACACAATACATACAAGTATTTTATGTAAACAAAAACTTTTATTTTGGATGCAATTAATCGAGATTAATCGTTTGACAGCACTAAAAGTTACATACACCTTTGAGTGAGAAATTAGAAAATAAAGGGTGGGATCATGCACTTGATAGAGTTGTTAAAGGTGCACTAAGCAATATTTGAAAAACGCATTTTAACACAGCGTCGGACTGAGTCCCAAAACACACCTGTAGCCAATCAGCAGTAAGGGGCATGTCCAGTAATGACAGAGAAAAGAGTGCTCAATTGAGTGCACAGGACGGATATTAGCAGTTCGACTACAGATAGAGAGAGATGGCAGATAAAAAAATAGGAAAATATCAGAGGAACAAAACATTAAAAAGATGGGTTACGATCAGGCAAGAGGTAGGACCTGCGTAAATATCGGAGCAGCTTTCCAGCAGTGGAGAGAACTCAAGGAGCGCGAGAAGGTCTGGAAATGGATTCGGACACGGATTGCTTTGTTTCTTCTTGATAGGTGAGTAATGTTGATTTAGCATTGTTTCACACAACTTATCTGTGTTGGCTTTTGTTTGAATATGCTTGTGTGTCATTTTCGCTTGTTTCCGCGATCGTCATTGCCATGGTTGTGTACCATGGGCGAGGGTCCTGTTGGGGTATGGGTGTGTTTGTTTTGGTGTATTAAATATTAACATTGTTTGGCAAAATGTGCTTAGTGCACCTTTAACTGCAATAAGCAGTGAAAAAGAACTCAATGCGGAGCTTGTGCTGACTGACACACATGAAGCACACACTCAGAAAACGCTTCTCTCAGACAGAATACGATCACGAATTTGGGACGTGCATGTTGTTATTAAGCACAATAAGCAGTGAAAAGGAACTCAATCCTCTGCTTGTGCTGACTGATACACAGCCGAAGCGTGCACACTAAAAGCCCCTCTCTGAGCCTGCATATGATCACCAAAACAGATCCCTTTCATGTTTTATTGTGCTGGAATGGTCAAATATGCACACAGTTGTGGCAAAATGCCCGTCGTGTGGAGTATTCACGTAAACACAGTCGATTATGTGTTAAATAAACGTAAACAGTTGGGTGAAAACCGGGTGTGTGTCATTACATTGGATCCATGCAGTTGGTCTTAAAGGGACAGTAGTCTCATTTACCTGCTGCTGTCTGTCATTATTAATATTAACCATTCACTGCACTTGACTGAATCACTTTTGAATCTTTAATAAGAATCAGTTCATCCTTGATCGATACAGCGAAACCTATGCAGTTTTATTTATACGCTTTATTCACTTTATTTTTAAGTTTATTTCATATTTATTTGTTCTGTTGTGTAATTTGCAGATTTTTCTTTTTATAATAAAAATAAAATAAAAATAGCTATATCGAGATATATATCGTTATCATGAAATAAAATTTCTCATACCGTGAAATAAGATTTTAGTCTTATCGCCCACCCCTAATTTGCAGCATTAGCTGAGAATTTCTTTAATATTTAAGTAAATTGGACATTATAAATGAAATATACTCAAATTAATCAAATAAAATCAAATAAGGATTGAATTGGCATCAAATCAGGAAATATGTATTAAAGGAACACGCCACTATTTTTGAAAATAGGCTCATTTTCCAACTCCCCTAGAGTTAAACAGTTGAGTTTTATAGACCGTTAGCATCTCGCTCAAAAATGACCAAAGAGTTTCTATATTTTTCCTATTACCTAGCTGGGGACTATTTTCAGATGCTGCGTAATATCATTGCGCCTGCTGCACCCATGGTACGGCAGCAAAGTTCCTTGATTATTATGCCGGAATGAGAGTACAGTTCCTAGCCATATCGGCCTAGAAAATCGCAACTTTTCATTTTCCGTCGGTCTTAGTACACGATGTAACTACAGAAGAGTCAAGTTTTAAATAGGAAAAATATAGAAACTCTTTGGTCATTTTTGAGCGAGATGCTAACGGTCTTATCAGATTCAATGATCTATGCTAAGTTGCAACTAAAAGTGCTACCGCCAGACCTGGAGATCGGCTGAATGGATTCGAAAACGGTAAAACTCAACTGTTTAACTCTAGGGGAGTTGGAAAATGAGCCTATTTTCAAAAATAGTGGCGTGCTCCTTTAATACTCAGCCTTAGATATTTCAGTTACTTTTAAGGCTGATTTATACTTCTGCGTCGAAACTACGGTGTGCACCTCTCCAAAAATATCACAGCACGTCAAATCTACGCAGACCACAAGCGCTGTAATTGGTCTGCTAGTACCCCTCCCTCCGTATGTTATTTGAGTTTTGTATGTGTGTTTTGCACTTTAATATATTTTAATGTTACACCTTCTTATTTAAAATAAAACAAAGCAAAGAACAAGTGTCTTATCATTTATTATAAAACGTAGCATTACATCACTTTGTTGTCCACGACAAACAGTTGTTCTGCCATAGTACAAGTGCTTGTGGAGATTGAAAGAATGCCATCTTCTCCTGTGCCGTTGTCGTCTCTTTTTTGTAGTTTTTAAATAAATTATCTGTTCTTTGATATTTATTTGCCGCCGTCACGGTTGATGCTTCTCCGACAAGCTGCTTCTTCTTCAGCTTTTGCCGTGGTCTGCGGGTTACACAAGCAAAATGCCCGTGGACACTGCAGACTAGCGGTTTGCATGTGTACTGCACGTCAACGCGGACAACAACGCAGAAGCATAAATGAAAACCGACACACATCCTACGGCGTAGAGCAGTGTTTCTCAACCCTGGTCCTGAGCGCCCCCCAACACTGCACATTTTGTATGTCTCCCTTATCTGACACCCATTTCAGGTCCTGCAGTTTCTTTTAATGAGATAATGAGTTGAATCAGGTGTGTTTGATTAGGGAGACACACAAAATGTGCAGTGCTGGGGGCGCCCAGGACCAGGGTTGAGAAACACTGGCGTAGAGGCTACGGCGTATGTCCGACGCAGAAGTATAAATCAGCCTTTACTTAAACTCAACACAGACATGTAAAAACGTGATATAAAATATAAATTACTTAACATCTTTTCTAAATCAGTCCAACATCCTGAACAACTTAGACCAGGTGAGCTGCTGAGGGGTAAACCAACCAATGGTCACTCTAGAAATTCAGCAAAGTCTCATTAGATTGCTTCCATCAGCATATCCTGACCTTTAAAAGCAAAGCTGTGGATAGGACTGCATCATTCGTAATGACATTACCTGCCTGTGCTTCACTGCCGGGCTTCATCAGACCTGCAAAACTCTCTTTTGATCCAATTACAGCGGACCGGAGGAAAGAGGACTAACTGGACATTGCTGAGAATTGCTCATCCTTTCAAACTTACAGTCAGTGCTGAAATTATTAACCAAACGGATGAGGTAAGGAGCGTGTGCGCACATGCGAGCGTTTGTTTCAGCGCCTCCAGTCATGCAGCTTCAACTGAACCGTGAGAAATTACAGAGGTCAGACATAATTCATTTGCACTCATTCAGCCAAATATCCT